TGACGACATTTTCCAATCTAGGGCTTGCAAGCCTTGGGGCTCGGGATTCGAAGGGTAGAGGTGGCTTTGGATTTGTTGAGTTTTTGGCGATTCCGGCTCTCCAACACCGTGAATCTTCATCACTGGACCAACAATGCTAAACACCCTTGTGTAGCAGCAATAATGCATGAACGCTATAGTTCACTGTTGAACAGACTGAGCTGGCATGGACTGAAATCGAACATTACTTGAAGGCCCTTTAGTAGTCGCGCGCTTGCGGGTTTGGCGCGGAATGGGTGCAGGTTGAGCGTGTTTGCGATTCGAGATTATTGTCCACAGGGTTTACCTGTAGCCCCAAACCCTACAAAATGCTAGGTTATGATCCCTTAATAAGCTGGGTCTAGCCGTCAAAGACAGCAAGGTTTTCGATCCGCAGGTACGCTTGTTTAAGCTTTAGGGATTTCGGATATTGGGTGCACCACGACAAAACCCAAACAACCAGCCTTGCCATAATTACGACTAAACTCGAGCCTCCCTCACCCCCATGAGCCTCTCAATGGTGAAGCCTTAACTCAGGTCTGCTGAGCTCTTATCCACACAAACCGGACGCTTTATGATTCTGCCGAAAGTTGCGAAGTGTCGTGGGAGCTGCCCCTGCGTCAAGACAAGCATAGCCTCTGCGGCACCGCAGGATATTCGGGCACAAGACTTCGTTTTTTGATTCTATGAAGTACACTACGAATGTGTGGGATATCACTCACGACTAATATAGCATAGTATGGTTTTGGGGCAGAGTAAGTATGGCAGCACGTTACAAGGACTAAAGGGTACAAACATCCGTATAAGCTTACAAATCAATCAGACCCCTTTATTACAGCTAAAACTGCTTTTCCTGCTTTTTGCTGTTATCGACTTCGGAGACTAGGTCCGACCTGTAACCGCTGTAGCCCTTAGGGCGCTCGAAGACGTAGAGTTTGGGATTAAACCATGTGAAGCTAAGGAACCTACCGTTTTGGGGCTCTGGATTACAACTTCCTTACATGATAAAGTGGGCTTTTGAGGGTCCAGGTAAAGCTTAATTAAAGGGCCAAAACCTCCGAAGGCTCTGAACTGCACGCCTTACTCTGTAGCCCTCAAACGTATATGGTTGACATTTAATCCAATCGCCCCACCGGAACCCCGACCAGCAAGTTCCCTGTCGACCCGCATAGGCAAGCTTGGAAATTGAACCTCATGGGAGGTTCGTAAACAAGAAACTCTCATAGAATGCTAGTGGTCCCCCCCAAATGGATCTACTCGTTCGAAGACAATCCAGGGAAAAACTTCACTACATTCAGGGCAGTCTATCATGAAGCCGGCTTGGTGTCCGGAATCTGGGCCTGCAAGCTGGGCCGAAAACCCTCACAAAAAGCTGCTTAACGGTCGACGTTGGTTGTGCCCGGCTCCCTTTCAATGGTTGCACACACCGGCTGGACGCGCACCTGGACTACAATGCTACAGTGCAGTGAAAATGACAATCATGGCACCTCCCCTCACCCTAATTAGCGTTGTAAAACCCAAACGGGGTGTAGGGTCCCACGTAGAGAAGGGCTGGGACCCACCGGGTCCCACCACGTCCCACGTAGAGAAGAGCTGGGACCCACCGGGTCCCACGGAACCCGATTTGGGTCCCACCGTAGAGAAGGGCTCGGACCCACCAGGTCCCACCAAATACGTGTCGTTACACGCGCAAGGCTGGTGGTTTTGAGGGCGCGATTTTGGGTCCAGAAAATGCTCTTGCTTCCGGCTTCAACATAGCGTGCCTCCATAGTATGCCTTGGGTCCTAGACCCAGGGTTTTGAGTCTGAGGGTTTAGCTAAACACTAATTATCACTAATTAAAAACTAAACCAACCCCCTGAACCTTGCACCCAAACACCCTAAGCCCTAAACCCTGAAACCGCAACCCGATCTATAAACCCTAATCCCTTAATTTTTAAGCCGTTAGATCCACACGTAACATCCCTTAACTAACCCTCCTGAACTTGAACACCCCAAACCGTGATCCCTGAATGGACCGACATGCACAAAAAACCCTCATAAGCCCTAAACCCAACACATACCTTTTCTCGGTCCTACCACCCATACCAACTCCAAACTCTAAACCCCGATCACGGCCTGGCGGTATCTGCACGGTCATCGTGGCATCGCCGTCCTGCTCGGGCTCAGGGTTCAAAGTCTGGGGCTGCGAGCTTAGGTTTAAGAGTACAGGGTTGAGAGTCGAGCGTTTGAGAGTGATTCAGGGTTGGGAGTTTAGGGTCGAAGGACTGCTTGAGGCCCCTTAGGGCTTAGAAAAGCGTGGAGCCCCAGGGCTTAGGCATAGGTTTCTGGGTTACAGAGGCCACGATATCTTCCAGACAATTCATTTGCAACTTCTTAGTCGCCGTAGTCGTTCGGCCGCTCGGCTCTCTGCAGACTCATGTTGAGCGTTGGGAAATGCGGAGATGTTGGGTGTTGTGGGATCTCCCACATCACCTGTGTTTCTTGTCGTGGGAGTACCCGGCTTGTCCCCAGGTCTTGTTTGGTGGGCTCATACGCTGCTGCTTGGGGTGATTGGTTGAAGAAAGCTGGTGCCCCCCACTCTCTGGCATCGCTCCACTAGCTCCATGCGGAGCGCTTCCTGTGTGATCGGATCTACTGCTTTTTTCGTGCAGGTGCTCCCGCTATCAGAAATCGGGAGTTCAGGAATTCCCTTAATCCAAAACAATCCTAAACTCATTCCGTTCCCCTTCGAGAGCCTATGGTTCAGGAAGTAGGGTTGTAGGCGCAGTTCCAGAGTGGAGAGGTGCCCGTCGGTTTCCGATCTAGAAGCCTTGGTCTTCATTATCCTGCACTGCGGGCGTATACGCGGTAAAACAGAGAAGGAACCTCCTGAACACGGAAAGTGCCACCCAGATCATCGACAAGGGCAACTAAGGTTGTTTGGCCGCTTAAACGGATGCTTTTGCTTTCCTCTCAGACGCAAACCCCAAATTCCAAACCCCAGCACTCCCAACCCCTACGCTCGCAACCCTAAACCCTAAACCCCTACACTCCCCACTCTACGCCCTAAACCCGAGCATTCGCAGCCTTGAGTTCGGCGAAGAGGCTGGCCCCAAGCAGCAGGCGGAGGTACAAAATGTTGTTGGTCTGACCCCCTGGGTTGTAGGGTTTAGGGTATAGGTTTAGGGTTTAGGGTTTAGGGTATACGGTTTCGGAGGTTTCAATTTTTACAGGTCAGGGTGTAGGATGGAAAACATGGACCCTCTTTGTTGGTACCGTTGAAGAGGTGCGTATGGCCTCCTCAGAGTAAATAGGGAACCTTCACCCTGCTGTTGCCGACAACATCGCTAACCGAACATAGTAGATTTTTCGGATATACCAGAGGGTGGATGGAGGTCTGGGAACACAATGTGTGTTTGGGGTGGATACCAAACTTTATGGTAAGGATCCTTGTCGAACGCAGGGTCACAAACAAAGTCAGTCATGTTGGAGACTTTGGTGAGACATTGCAAGAACCCCCCAAACCAAAACAAATGTCTGGAGATTAGTTCACTTGCGGCGAGGACCGGCGTAAACCAAAAGCGGAAAAGACATATGGGCAGTGGCTGAATCGACAGAGCAGCGGAAGGGAGCTTGATTGCCATCGCCCGGCGTTATGACCACCTCAAATTTGACGAAACGTAAACTGGAGGGTTTGAGGAACATGGCCCGCGACCTCTCTGCCTTCTGTATATATATATATATATATATATATACATACACGGTATCTGCCTGGTAAAGGATCGGAAAAAAGACTAAGCTGGGACCATGGGCACGTTTTCCGATCTAAGCCTAGCAAACCAAGAAATCTAAACCCAAAGACTAGAGCTTAGGGTTTGGCGTTGTCAAGTGCGTTTGTGTGCGTATGGCGACTAGCATGTTAAGATATTTCTACCTAGAGTTGCGCCCCCTCAGAAGCCCTCAAACATATTAGTGAGAAGAAGCCAAACCATCGCAATACTGCCTACAGCATCATGTACATGTCTATGTGAGAGCCTCCAATTCGTAGCGAGAGGATGTAAGGTATACAGTTGGACTCAGAAAACGCCATACGTGGAGAGCCTCGTCGAAACCTTACCTGTAGCCCAACCTTCCGACGAATGTTCCATAAGCAAGCCCAATAACAAGGAGCCCGGGAAGTCTACACCCCCACTCCTAAACCCAAGAACCCGAAACCCCAAAATTCTAACACTCCAAATCCTAAACTCAGAACGGCGCCCAACGCCCCCAAACCCTATTTCAAAGGCACCCTTCAGCGTCTCGAAGCCAAGGGGCCGAACCGACGGTTGCACTGGGCGTCCGGCGGGGAGCCTGGCTGCGCAAGAAGGGGCCACTAGAGGGGCTATTTTAAGGATTTAGTATAGGGGCCTTAATTAGAATGAGGTTTTGGGGCCCATTATGCTATAATTGCAATACCCCTGTAGAATTCAAAGGACTTAGGGTTTGGGAGTGCAGGGGTTCAGGGAGCTTCGTTTCACATATATTTCGGCTCCATGAGGGCTTTGCAGAGATTAATGAAGGTCTGGTTTATATGTAGAGGGGGTAAGGCTTCAGCATCGGCTTCTTGCCTCGAAGTGAGGGCTCATCATCGTGTTTCAATACCGCTTACAATCGCTTGCAGGGGACCCTGTTCCAATCAAGAGGGCCCCTGCCGTATCTATAGACCCACTAGACTTCTATGTGCTGCAATCTCTCAGCCATGGCGGTAGGAAACTGTTTAGGCTTCAGGGCCTAGGGCGTTTTGGTTGAGGGTTTAGGATGGGTCTAGGGCTAAGGGTTTTTGATATTTTGATCAAAACGCATTGTGGATCAACGTACTGACAAGTACCAGCAGAACAACGGCCCTCGACAGTTAGACTTGAACCCTAAACCGTCAGGTGGCCAACGTATGGGGAAATCGTAGTTTCTCTGCCACAATTCTGGTGAAAGCAAAGCCTTACATGAACCATTGATTTAGACAGGCTATTGACGCTTGTGCTTGCATGCCCAATCCTTCCACAAGAAGACTCCGGAAGACTCGGTGTAGTGCACCCGCGTGTCGTCGGGCAGGGAGACCTCCACAAAGGAAGAGCTACAATTTCGCAGACGTACCAGCCGTTGCAAGAGGTGACCTCAAGTTTAGTAAGATGGGCTCTTAATTATAAAGGGGACAAAGGGTTCAGGGTGCGAAGTTCCGGGTTTCGGATCGGGTGTTTGGAGCATCGGGTTGCTGACTTGACCTTACCTGTAGCAGACAAAAACCAACCTTTGTAGGGCTTCTTATGATTGTTTTCCATATATCATTCGTTGAAAAGGTGGGGTTTTGGGGCCACCAGTAGGATTTAGAGTTGAAAGCTTAGAGATTCGTCGTCGCACTGAGGACAGACCCTAAACTCTGAAACGTGAAGTCCTAAACTCTCGAACTCTAAACCTTTTAGTGACAATTAGTCTTAGTGTTTAAAAGGGCCTTGATGATTGCAATGTGGAGTTGCTGTGCCCCAAACCAGAAGAAGGTCGAACCAACAAGTCTTCACTACAGGCTTCTGTTACCTGCTCAAATGCAGGAGTTCAAAATTGGGCCGAGGCTAATCCATCCCTATTACCTCTGCCTGCGGCTTCGATTGCATATCATGGAAAAGGTTAAACATTACAACTCAAGGTCATAATCAATCCTACCAGTCTTGTACGGTGCGGGGCCACCACGAAACCCTACCCTGTCGCTCGGGTCGCCAGAGTGTCCATCAGCCCTCGAAAACCCAAATGAAGCCAGGGTCTGCGGAAACCGTAAATCTTTCTTCTAGAACCCTTGGGGAAGCCCGTATCCGCCAGGGCCCAAGTACAAATTCAATATAGTCGGTACTTGGTGATAGTGGCGCTCCAAGCCCTCCAAAACAAAACCAGCAAAGCAAGCCAAGTATGCCTGGCCCCCGAACGGCGTACCTGAACAGGGTTTAGGGTTACACTCGGGGGAGTAGGGCTTAGGCATAAATATATATACATATATATATATATACATACATATACATATACATATACATATACATACACATACACATACACATACACATACACATAGACATATGCATATACATACGCATGTCCATGTACATATACATATACATATAGGTATACGCATATGTATATGTATACCTATACATATACATGTACATATACATATGCATATACATATACGTATACATATACATATATACACACATATATACATATACATATACATATACATATACATATACATATACATATACATATACATATACATATACAAATACATAAACATAAACATAAACATATACATATACATATACATATACAAATACATATACATATACATATACATATACATATACATATACATACATGGTCCGTACTAGACTTTGTTAGGCTTTTGGTTTAAGGCCCTCAGGCTTTGCAGCGTTCAGGGTACTGCCAAGCTCCGGACTTGAGCCAGAGGCCCCCCTATGTGACAGTCCGAGGATAAGCTTCGCCTCAGGGCCTACGGGGGGCTTATGAAGTAAAGCTTTAATTCAGGGTCTAGGGTTAGTGGGTTGATGTGTTAGAGTTTAGGGTTGAGGACTTGGGGCTTATCGGCTTATAAAGGTGTATTTACAGTGTGGCGCAGGAAACAAGATGCTACAAAAAGTCATCACAACTCCGAGTAACCCTGCGTGCTGGAGACAGCAGCCTACAGGGCCCCTACTTCCTTCGAAACGTTAGATTATACTTTGCATGTCCTCGACACCCTTGGAACCAAAGCGACACGGCCTGAGTGCATATCCCTGATCCGTAAAGGCTTCAATCCTTTTGCATGACCTACCAATATTCACGGCAACTCTGACCATCTTAATGCCTCCAGAATACTGAATTATGAATCTCACAGCGAACACAGATAGAGATATAGATATAGACTTAGATATAGCTAAAGATATAGAGCTGTATAGAAAAAGGTATAGTATAGATATAGATATAGATATAGATATAGATACAGATATAGATATAGATATAGATATATGTCTGTATGTGTATGTGTGTAAGCAGGGAAGTAGGTAGGTAGGTAGGTAGGTAAGTAAGGAAGTATGTATGTACGTATGTATGTGTGTACTTGTACTTGTACATGTACATATACGTATAATACACCTACACCTACACGTATACATATATATATACACACATATACACATGTACATAAACAAATGTATATGTATGCGCACAGACACAGCCCTTGACAAAGTAGGCAATCGGAGACGCAGGTAACCCAAACCCGAAGCTCTTAAACTCCTCTCGAAACAGTGTAGCTCCAAAGGCAGGGTTACCCTGAACCTTGAGGTTTAGGTTTCAGGGTTTGGGGTCCTAAACCATAGACCCCAAAACCCTACACAGTGAGAGTCTATCTCAGAGACTTTACCAAGCTGCCGAAGAATCCGAGGACGGGAAGTGACAGCTGCGAAACGCGAATCGTGTGCCTGGAGTGTTGGATTAGAGGATTTAGGATTTTCGGGGTTTAGGGCTTTGAGGTTTAGGGTGCGGTTTGGCTTTTAGGGTTTGGACCTGCGGCTATTGGGTTTTAGGGTTGGGGAAGGAAGGATCTTGACCTGAACACTTATGTAGAAACCTTCTAAAAGAGTCCTGCGTACTTGGCCGCCAGCGTAGGTTCCAAGCTGTGTCATCCGTGAAACCAATCCACCTGCACTAATGTCGGAATGTTGAAGTAGGTGACCCCCTAAACCATTTGCTCCGGCCGGTCAGGCTTGGACTTGAATGGTATTTTATACTACTGTTCCGGGGAGGAACGGCCTGTTCTTTTGCGATTACTGGGGGCGGGGAGGGGGGCTTCCTCTCAGCCAGCCTATGCGTGTAAAGCTCGCTCCTAAACCGTCTAACCGCTCCGAAACCCTACCTGTTGTCCAAAAAACAGGACTCGAGATCTTTCAAGAGGTAGATATAGAATACCCTAAAGGTAGATATAGAATACCCTATAGATAACGGCCCTTATAAGAAACTTGAACATATTGAAATACAAAGGTAGGCTTTCTGCAGCGAACTCCCAACTCCTAAGGGAACTCCCAACTCATGAGTCCCAAAACCGCCGTACGAATCCCTGACCCCCTAAAATCCCAGGCGCTGCGTAGACGCACCGGAGATGGCCGACATGTCCTGACGGGTTGACAGAAGAATTACAGAGAAAGCCTAGTGGGTGTAGGATTAATGTTGATTCTGCTCCTGTGTTGATATTGTTGCTGCTGTCGTTGTTGATACATGTAGCAATATCGCATCCTTATAGTTCTACCGTACTACCATATAGTATTATGAGTTTTGGATATGTCATCCGCCATGTATCGACTTCTTGCTGTTTCGCTGCTTTGCCTGCGACTATCCCTTCAAGGCCAAGCGATCTGGATCCGCGGCTCGTTGCAAGCTTAGATTCGAAAATGTCATTGGCAAAACATGAGCTTTCGCCGTGTATTCGTGCACCTTACCGATGAGGGACAGCTTCCATCGAGAGCGACAAGGGACAACTGGCACTCTACATTGTGAAAACAAAGTCAAAACGGGATGCGTGGGTTCGAACAGACCAATGCTTGGAGGCTTGACATCACTTTGCCGGGTCGATCGTTACCTCGAAGAGCAAAGCATACCCTCAAGCCCTAGCAGAGGACCTTGACTCCTAAAACCCTGGGAGCACTAAGAAATGTCCTGGAGCCCTGTAAACCCTACACAACTCTTACCATCAGAAAGGCCTGCTCTTTGAAAAGGATGTTTAAAATGCACTTGTGGTTTCCACAGACACAAATACACAAGCAACAAGTAAATCAGGCTATGGCGGACGGTTCGGGGAGGAAGCACGGGGGGGCAGAAAAATATAATGCAGGGTGCAGGTTGCATGTCACTGTTATGCTGTATGCTGCCTACTATGCTGCCTTCTAGCGCACATGCTCACACTGCGGTGCATGCATATAAGACGAAGAAGACTTCATACCTGCGACTTTGCTGAAATTTGGCTGTAGAACTTAAGCAGACCTGCTGGAACCCTGAGGCTTTTTCTGAAAAAGCCGCTCCTGCGGCAGGACCAGCTTCACGATATTTCGCCGCCCACTGTTTACAACCTCGGTGCTCCAAGTTCGCATTCAGCACATTCCACTGCTTAACCCTACACTCACAGCCAAATCAGCACCAACACCACAAATGCAGGGCTTAGTGGCTTGGGCCTTGGGGCCTCGCGCTTAGGAAATATCCGGATGGATGCCTGGGTCTGAAACAAGCGCTGCAGGACCTAAGTGATTGCTCTCTGACCCCTAAGACCTAAACTGTTCATCCTGAGCCCTATAATGCCTTATGTAGGGGCCGTAAAAATTAGAAGAATTTCTTGGGGCCCATTATACTATAGTTTAATTACAATCCAGAAGGAACCCCCAAGACAGTATTAGTAGTATTTACGGCCTCTGTTGTGCAAGCCCAAAGCCCTGAACCCCGAAACAACTGCACCCTCCGGGACTCCTCCGATAATGTGAGCTCAAGATTCCTTGCAGAGAATGACGTTTACTTTCGGATGAGGGTAGCCCAGAAGCTCCAATATCCTTCGATTAAGGAATATTCTATTCCTTAAATCACATTAGGGATCCTACTATGGTTTAAGGAATAAATATTCCTAGCATGCAGGTTTGGGGGTTTAGGAATTTGAGCTGGCATGGAAAGAGAAATTGGAACGGACAGTTGTAGCGCACCACTAGCAATAACCTTGTCGACATCACTGCTCTGTTTCAGAACCCACATTGAACCAGCAACCGGAGTGCCGAACACCTAAAACTCTAAAACCAACATCCACGGAAACAACAGAAAAAACAAGAAAGCAAGACCAACACCCCAAGCCTAAAACACAAAAACAACTAAACCCTAACCAAAAACACAAACTCCGCCAGCCTCGACCCAAACCCAGCGCCAGCAAGTTGCCGATTCTGAGAGGCAGGAGGAGACGATCCCACACTGCTTGGAGAAGTGTGGAAAGCATAGAGCCTGTTGGGTCGGATTTACGGTTTTTTTTTTTTAAAGTGTACTGGCCCTTTATCCACTCCGCAGGAGCAGGTCTCGTGCCCGCCGTCGTCGGCTTACACTACCAAAATAAACCATCCTCAGACTGTCACCTTCATTGTTGTCCAGGTCACAGTTTTAAAGGGTGGAGAGAAAAAAGGAACTTGCCCTCACATGTCACGACTACGACTCCTCTCACGTGTGGAAGCACTTCTTCTCCGTCTGGTTTCACCCCAAGGACGACTGACCCTGCGACGGACGACTCTCCGACGAACATGTAGGCCACGAGGACGAGGACCTCCGACAGGCACAGGAACATCAGAAAGGGCACGTCTAGCAGGGGGAGGATCACGTAGGTCACCACGATGTTGTCCAGGAGGATGTGCACGAGGCTCGACAAAGCGCGGACGAGGACGACGTAGGCGATGACGACGTCGTCCCATCATCGTGCTTCCCATACCTTCTTGTCCAAGCATTCCAGTCATCGGTGGTCTGGGAGCCAAGTTAAGCATAGAGGGCCCAGGGACGTCAGTTGGCCAGTTTGGAATACCAATGCTCTCATTTTGCTGAACAATGAAGAGACCTTCATCCTCATCAGACGGCCAATGTCCTTGTGGTACTGGAAGAACCTGTTCCTCATAAAGGCGTCGACTGTGAGCACGCCAAGCCCGACGACGATATCCCACGATCGTGTTGGGTGCGGTCCCAGGAAACATGGCCAGCAAGGCATCCACCGTGTCCGGGAAGCCAGGCCCAAGGAGGGCTGATGGGGCAGACACAGTGGCATTCGTGCTCGACGTGGTGGGTCCAGACCCAAATTCAGCCTGCTGAAGAATCGTCGTCCAGATGGCCTGTTCAAAGTGGCCAACATTAAGGGGAGCAGCAACGATTGGCAACTGGATCCAACCAAGGGCCTCCTCAATGGCGTCCTCCAGAAGGGCTTGTCGATGTCGTCCTCGTCGAAGATGTACAAGTAGTCTTCTAACAAGTTCGACGACATCCACTTGTCCACCGTGAATGAGGTTGACATTGACAGTATCTCTAACGACGTCCGAAGGCCATGTAACACCCAAAGACGAAGAGCTTGTCGTGGAGGTTGTAGAAGAGAGCAGCACAGCCAATGCAGACCCAGTATTCCATTGTTCGCTTCCCACCACAATCCGTTCACCATTGGCAGTCATTGTAGTCGACGAGGTCAACAACTGCGAAGATGAAGAGGAGGAGGCCATCCAGTACGAGATAGTCGTAGTCGTGGAAGTCGTGGTAGTAGCATCCTCCCTTTCTTTATCATCAGTATGATCTCCTCCAGCTGGAAGGGCAAGCCCGCCAACATTGTGAGCCGTCGTAGATGATGAGGTCAACCACAGCAGGGATGTAGAGGAGGAGGCCATCCAATCCGGGGGGGTCGTAGACGTGGACGTCGTGATTTGATCATCCTCCATGTGTCCATCGTTGGCATGATCATCCCCATGTGGAAGGCTCCGATTTTCCTCTGCAGGCGAGGTCTCTTGATTTTGGCCACTATGAGAAGACGAGGATTCCACCGGTTCACGCCAGATGCCCTGCAGCTCATCAGGTAAATTGACTGGGAGAGGAGGTGGAGGGCCAAAAGGGCCGTGTGTTGTTGACCGCGGGCTCACTCTGACAACTTCCCCTCGGGAGTTGGTGGCCCACTCACTGTCCATGGACAATACATGCACACTGGTACCCGATGGGCTCCTAGACCTTGTTCTCCTATCCCGTCTCCTAGTTGCACGTCTCCTCGAAGATGATCGTCTCCCTGAGCTGGAAGAACTGGCAGCTTCCGTTCCTCCTGACGAGCGCACTCCTTCACTCTGGTAGCTCAACTGTTCAGGGGAGGAAGCTGGCATGGACGGTGTCCCTTTTTTTGTTTTTTTTTAAGAATGTCAGAACGAATTTGAAAGTTCGAGATGGAAGCGTCTCATGCGCTCTTCCATGGTTTCTTTCAGGCCTCTTGGCCGTCAAAAGCTGCGGAGGAATCTTCAGCCATCGTAAACTTGCTGAGATTTGATTCCTTCCAGGTAGTCAAAGACTACTTCCAAGAACGTCATGTGCTTGTGGAAAACCTTCAAGCATTGCTCGCTGTCGCCACCGAGATTGAGCTCCTTGAGAAGTTCCTCAGCAGGCTCGCTCCGCGTCTCATTCCCCAAAGGATACCTAAGCATGGTGTTGTATGCCGAAACGCTCAGTCCTACAGGGAATCTGTGAGGGCGAGATTCCTGCTGTGCTGACACCATCACTGATGTCCGGATCAACTCCTTAACTCTCTCGATGTCACTACCACTGTGTGCTCTGAGCACCAGGTGGAGCATTGCCATCAACTTCGAAGCTGATGACTCCACTTGGCTCTTCAAACTCAATGTTGAGACTCCATGAAGCTGGCTGTCCTCACCCAAAGACATCATGATCTCCGGGACAACCCCTATGAAAGTGTTCGACGAAAGTGAGCGGCCCGTGACCTCTGCGCAGATTGTCATGATCTTCTCCTCCATTTGCATAACAGACCTTATGAAGGCCTGACCTTTTGCCTTCATCCGCACTGTTTTCGTGCCCCTGCCAGCAGCCTTGCCACTTTTGCCCTTTGCAATTTGTGAGGCTCGCTTCGGTCCTCGAACAGCAAGGCAGAATGCGAGGCAGAAAGCCACGACGAAGAGGGAATTCCCTGCCAGAAGGATGAGAACTCCATAGAGGTAGCTGTCAAAGTCTTCCGCAGTGACTTCCAGCTTCTTCTGCGAAAGATAGCCCCCCATGTTCTGAATGATGAAAGTTGGGTCATGCGATTCCTCAACTTCCTTCCGGGCCGTCTCCATCTCCGAGCGAATTCCATCCAAGGCGTCTTTCTCGCCTTGCAATGTTTCCTCATGTTTCTTCTTTTCCTCTTCGTCTTTGCCTTCCAGAGAAGCTTCCTCCAAGTTCTTGATCTCGCTCAGGCAGGCCGTTTCATCTTTTCCCTTTTGCTCTATGATCTTCTCGAGCTCTGTAACCTTTGCCTTGGAAGCCCTGATTGCCAACTCTGTCTCTGACTTGATCTCCTTGCCAGGATGGCTTTTTGAGATCTTAAGGCCTTGCTTTTCCTGGAAGTCAAAGTCCACGAATCCTACCAAGAACTCACGGAAGTCCACTGGCGTCAAATTGCCCTCATAGGCAAAGTCAGATAGGGCAGGGATTCGATCCGCAGCGGATCTCAACGCTGTGAGTGCTCTTTGAAGCACGTTTTCCAGATGTGACCCCTCGCCAACCATCGGAAGCGCTTTGTGCTTGGACCAGTAGTTGGCTAAGTACTTTGCAATTTCGTCCACGGAAGAGCATTCTTCTAGAGACTCAGGAGCTTTGAAGCTGGCTGCTGCTTCTCCTCTTACTTCTGTGGACGGCCTTTCGAATCCTCGCTCAATGAATCTCACTTCTTGCCCAGTCCCTGCTTGTTGCCCCGCAGGAGATCCAGTCCTTGTGAAGACTGACCCTTGGAGAGCTCTCAGAAGTTGAGACCTCTGCTCTTCGGTCAGTGCTTCTTGGAACTGTTCTTCCTCGGCCATCTGCATAAGTAGGGAGTCGGGAATACTGTGGTGAGAAAGTTGAAGAGCTGAAGCAGAAAAGCGAAATGTCAGAAGACGAAGGGGGACACCGAGAAGGCTTGAGCCGTAGCCATTTTGGATTTACGGTTTAGGGTCTAGGGTTTAGGATTTACGGTTGAGGGTCTTAGGGTCTTAGGGTTTAGGGTCTGGGGTTTAGGGGTTAGGGCTTGGGTAAACAAGCAACAGATTAGGATTCAGGGGTTAGGATCTAGGTTACTACACGGTAGATTAGGATGTCTATCACGGCATTTATCAGGGTTCCTTACGGCGTTCCTGCAAAGGGTTCTATAATTCTATAAGGGTTTTTATAATGTAGGGATGTTGAATAGGAGTTTTTGAACATACTGTAGTGTACTTATATACGGAGCATAATGTGAGACCGTTACTGCTTTATCCACCTTTTTCTCCAAGCTCGACGGGTTCCACAATCGGGCTATCAGGGTTCGAAAAAGGCTAGGGGGGTATGGTTACCGCTTGATTATGTTACTACCGGAAGAAATAGTTGTATACTGTTCTGGGCCAGCATGCCTGATTACATAATTACACGGTTCCTGCAAAGCTTCGGTAAAGATTCTACCAGCATTGCAAGACTCGGGCTTCAGGGCTTTGGGGTTCCTTGAAGAATTCTATAAGGGCTCTATACATGCTATCATTCTGCTATCTATCAGTACTATCTGCGTTTAAATATCTGCGCTTTCTAGTGTTCCCTTCAAGGGTCTTTTTAAGGGCTCTGTCCTAGGCTCTAGTCATTTATGGTTGGTCGGAGGGCTTGCTGCGAGGTTCGGGGTTTAGTGGTGGTGGTCTTGGGGTCGAGGGTTGCGGGTTTCGGGGTGTTAACTTTAGCTTGTCGGATTGTGGCCCGAAGATTCAATACAGGGGCCTTTAACATTAAAATGGGGTGTTGGGGCATGCAGCGATGTTTGCTTGTAGGGACTCTGGCTCTGGGGGAATAAGATTTCGGAATTATTCCTGCCTCTCTCGTATCGAGGTTCACCTCTAAGCCCTCACAAATTTACACCCCTCAACCTTTGAAAACTGAACACAGTTCTTAATGGGCTCTTGTTTTGCAATTGCGGATTTGGGGCTGTTGGAGCTTCGGGTCCCTCTATCCTATAGGTTCCTTTCGGGGTTCGATTTATGTAAGGGTTCAATTATACGGGTTCCTTGATATGGGCAATTAAGGGCTCGATTTATGTAAGGGCTCCATTACGGGCTCCTTTGAGAGTTTCAGGCTTCCTTCGACCTTTTCGCAAGTATGAAGTGTCCGTGCACCGATATAGTGTGTGTGTGTGTGTGTATGTTGACCCTAAAAGACCTAAACAGGACAAAACGTCGAATATGCAGCTACACCGACCTGGCACTTGTTGCTGAACCTTCGCTGTCTGAACCTCCTTCTCGAGGGCTGCTTTGCATTTGGATGCTAGTGTCGCCAGAACCTTACCCATGAGATGATACGCTGCTGCGCGGCGCTTCGTGAAGCATGGAACGGGGTCGTAGCATGCAGTTGTCCCAGGAAGCAGCCCCCCGAAGATCTCTTTGTTCCAGAAGCCTGCTGTGATTCTCCTTGCTAATTCTTGCTCATGGCTGCAGTGTGGGGAGTGCATCGTCCGCCATTGTTGCAATATCGTAGGTGGCTATGGATATGCAGGATGAATCGATCACGATACAGCTCCTCCTGCTTGCTGCACGCCAGATCTCCCGGAAGTCCTCCAACGTGGTTGGCATTGCTCCGATCGAGTTGGTTGTCATGTAGCACGGGAGGACGAAGTCAGCAAAAGACGCAGAATGAAAGCATCGATCGCCTGGTACAACAACCGGATCCAGAGCTTCTGATTGTCCAGGTGTGCCACTACACTACACCCTAAACCTCAAACCTTAAACTCTTAAACCAAAGCTTAAAGACCCGTAACCTGTAAACCCCAAGACGCCGGACCGCAAGCCAAACGCTGCAACTGGACCCTGCCTGGCACAAAGGGTCAAGTTCCTGAGGCCAGCTCATGTTGATCTGTTCAGGGTCTACGCCTTTGGGGGTCAGAGTTTCGGGGTTGTTGTTCAGGGCTTCGGGGGCAAGGCCAAGGGTCCGGAGAGATTTGGGGCTTGAGGTTTTCGGGTAGAAGCTTCGAGGGTTTCGGGCTTGGGAGCTCCATCCTCTACCCCGACGCATACTCCTACTCCCACTATGAGACTACTAGTGGGTACCACGACTAGAGTACAGTATACGGTAGTAAGAGCATAAGTGATACTCCTCTCTGTCATAAAAGAATAACATCGAAATACAGTATATCATGGTAAAAGCCATGAACTGACACCATTAACAGTAGCAACAATGATAACAGGAATGCTAGTACATAATACTAAACATCCTTAACTTTCTCAATAACCAGATGCAAGCATTAGTATCAATACCTATAGCCGCAATGACCAAGACGATGCCAATAACATTGACAACGACAATGACCACAACAAAAACACAAACTGACAACACTAGTGACAAGAACAGAAATAACACTAGTAGCAATCAAGATAATGATACCTTAGAAGGGGCCCCCACCCTGTAATAGTGGTATACTAGGAAATAATAGGGCCTTAATATAATTTTGATAGTCACTATTACAGGATGGGGGCAGCTTCTAAATGATACCTCAACAGTAGTGTCCGAACCTTAAGCTCGAAGCCTTCGAGGCCCGAATCACACAGCTGGGCTGGAATACTGTCGCCTAAACTCTAAACTGAAACTCTAGCTCTAGATGGACAGCGGAATCAACCAAGACGGCTTTTAAATGCTATTTGGGGCTAGGGTTTCGGGACAAAGTCGGCTTTTAAACGCCTTTTGGGGGCTAGGGTTTCGGGACAAAGTGGGATGTATCAAGGGAACGCCATTGTCTAACCATTCCGGCCACTGTACTAGATAGCGCCGCAAGTCGTTCTGCCCACACTTGAAAACTTGAAAGCTGAGCCCCCTCAAACACAAAACCCGTACGCTAAACCGAGGAATGTGCTACTGCTGACATGCTACATCGCGAACGACCTCAGGCCAGGAGAACGACATTGAAGCCAGAAACACTAAACCAGACATGGGCTTAGGGCTTAGG